TGTCGGTTTTCCAGGACAAAGCTTCTTTTGGGTGTTCGAAGCCAAAGCCAGCATCATCGTGCTCACAGTAATCGGCAACTCGCTTGGTGAGCCAAAGATGACTTGACTCTTCCTCCATGCGGACCTCCTTGAGGTAGTCCTGGTACTCGGGTGTGAGAGCACAAAGATTCTGCATTTTTGACCATTTTGTGCATGGAGGAGCAATCCAAACGAAATGTGGGCGTTCGGTCTTCAGGAGCTTCAGGAAAGCTAAACGAATGGAGACCTTGGAAAAATCCCACTCGGGCAAGCTGAAGGTTGCCACAGTGACATCATCATACTTCTTAGCCAAGCTGGTGGCCAAATTTCCCTTGTCAACGTAAAGCTCGAAGAACAGCAGGCTTCTATTTTAGCCATTTCGTTTGATCACATCAGCAGCCAAGGCCTGGTAGTCATCAATCTCAAGGAAGGCCTCGTCGTTGTCTTCGAATGCATTTGGTTCCATGACAACTTCGATGCGCCATGGATCAGTTGGGCTTTCTTCAATCATGTTCACTTCATCCTTGTTGAGGAGGTCGATGATGTAGTGTCCACGATGTCCCCTTTCAGGCTTGAATCACTCTCCATTCATGACCTGCATAGTTCCATTTGCAAAGTCTTGTTTTGCACCCCAAGCTTCCAACGTGGGCCGGGAGAGCAAGAAAGGAATGCTTCCTGGCACCACTGAGGCAGTCAAAAGCAAGTGCTGGCCATTCACATAGGCTGGGAAGGTCACCTCGTAGTGAGATCGCAAAATTTCTCCACCGCCGAAACGAAAGTCGCGATGGCATGGGTTGACATGAACTTCTTGAGGATCGAGGTGTTCCAGCCACAACTTCCAGGTGTTCTCTCCGGTAATCGTTCTTGTAGCACCTGAGTCAACAATGGCCTTACCGGCAGTCATGGTGGTGAAGAAGCAAAACTCAGCCTCGACGTGGTCCACATCTTCTTCGTCATGCTTGAGGTCCATTAACAGGTCATCCACCATGGTCACCTGATTTTCGGGAACTTCCTTGACTCCATTGGCCTGAACTCTATAGCGCTTGCAGCGGGGTCCATGAGCAGCTGTTGAACCACTCAGCGTTGACTTTGGGCTGTCGCCAACTGTTGTGCTGGATGAGGATGTAGTCGGACGTCGAAGTCCAGACATTGGCCTCCGATTGTCGAAGGAGCGACGAAATCCACCGCCAGAACCTTTCCCTTTTCCTTTGCTTTTTCCTCCCTTGCCCTTTGACTTTCCTTTGCTTTTGCCTTTTCCACCACCTCCAGAACCACCTTTGCTCCAAGCTTTCCCTTCATCAGGAGGCAATGCAACAACAGGGAAAAATCCTCTTGAAAGGGCAAGTTCTCGCATTCGTCGTCGGCTTTCAAAGTAGTTGATGTAGACCTCATCGACCTGGTCAACAGCTTCATCAATTTCGGGATCCTCCTCCTCATACTCATCAGCCTCATAGGCTTCTTCTTCAAAGCCCCATTCATAGTCTTCATAGTTGTAGTAGGCCTCATAGGGTTCTTCATCTTCGTAGGTGACTTCATACTCTTCTTCGAAGAAACCATCGTCCTTGGCAGAGCTTCCATCGGTCTTGATGTCTTTCACATTTGGACGATGGTCGCCACCAAACATTTTCATCAGGGCCTTTTGAACACGATCATACTCGAATTCACCTTGACATAGGGCTTTCACCTGCACATGAGTCCACTTTGGCACCGCTGCCCTGGTTAGAAGGTGCCAAGCAGCAAGTGGTAAAGGGATCGTAATCTTGACCTCTTTCATCTTGGCCATCATGGTCTTGTGCCCAATGAAGTAGGCCTGCATCTCTTCATTCTTCAACCTGGCGAACTCGCCAAAAAATTCTTCACATCGTACAGGGACTTCAATCTCCTCCTGGTACTGGTAGATCTCATCGAGGATCCCATAGATGGGCTTGAAGGGACGTGCACTGTTTTCCAAAGCGATGTAATCGATGGACTCTGTAGCCTCCCACGCCAAGTTGTTGAGGCATGAGATCATGAACAGTGCACCTTCCACCGCGGCATCAACACTTCTTCGATGACATTGACGTTCAAACAACTCAAGGCGACGTCGAAAGGACCTGTATAATTTCTGTGTGAGTCCTTCCATGTTGGGACATGCTTTTGCCAAGCCGCCTTCCAAGCCGCGAACTTGAGGGGCATAAGGGGCTTGAGCTTGTGCGCCCTGTGGCTCATCTCCTCCGTTAGGATGGATACCATCTTCTTCATTACGAGTTCTTTGACGGCGCACAGCCGTTCTTTGAGCTCCCTTGCCACCCTTTCCTCTCTCATCAGACATTTGCCTCGCCGAACACGATCCTTGAGGTGAGCGTGTGCTTATCTTCTTAGAAGATGCAAAAGGAGGGATCAATCACAAAGACTCGTGCCGTCAAAGCCGGGAGAGAAGAGCGTCGCCGGCTCCGCTACCAATCTCGTGGTAGCTAAAGTGAAATCAAACCAAACCACAAAGCTCACGAAGTCCAAGTGGCACTCAAAGAACACGTTCAACGAACGGACCTAGATCGAATTCCTTTCTGTCGCGGGCGAACCTGCGGGTGTCGTGCCTGAAGGCTGACTCAAGGGCCCTATTTGACCCAAAGATAGCATCGGATGATGCACCTGTGCAAAAGGAACATGGAAGGTATCCACACTCATGAAATGCATTCAGTGAACGTTAGCTTCATTGTCTAGACAACTATTATATATGATTTATTTTATTCGAAAAAGAATCTAATGAGGGTATATGGATTTATCCTTAAAGATTATTGTATTCTTTCCAAAGGATTTGGCATATATTCGGATATATAAATGTTCAACATAAACATAATGCAATATAATCTAAGCCCCGACAATGCCCAAGCCTCATAATTTCGCAATAAAACAATTTCTCGATTAAATGTCCAAATTGTTTCTCCCCATTCGAAAACGAATCAAAATATACCCAAATCCATATCGCCCAAATTTAAGACCAACCTTTATAAATCAATAATTTAAAAAAATAAAATAAAATAAATCATCGGCAATATATTATATATAAATAAATTCATTCATTATAATATGTTTAAAAAATATAATTCTTAATTTTTAATCGATATATTAAAATCAAAAATCATTTTAAAAAAATTATAGTATTAATTAAATTAAATTTAAATTCATTCTAAATTATTATCTAAAAATATTTTTTTTTTTAATTAATATATTTAAAATACAATATATATATATTAAATATTTAAATATATTTAACGCAATTTTGCGATTTTATATAATAATTTTAATATATACATTATCTATTTAAATTAAAAGAAAAAAAAATATATTTCTTATTAAGATTTAATTTAAATCAATAAATCATAATTTACAATCCATTTTTATTATTTCATATATAATTTCAAAATTCATTAATATATATATATTATATATATATTATAAGTATTCGATAATATTGTTTCAATATATATATTTTTTATAATATATTGTAATTTTCAAATTATTTTGTTTTATTAAAGGTAAAATCAAGGTCAAATTTGCGATCCCGATTGCAACAATATATTTAATAATGAATTTCAAATATAGAATATTGTGCACATATGTTGCGGAGCTGCGCAAGGATTATACGAGATGCGAATACAATTGCAATTCTTTAGTTTGTGATAATGCAATTGGGAAAGGAATCGAAGAATCCTTTTTGTATTGTCCCAATTGTGTAAGGAAGAATCGAAATGAAATATCAATGTTTTGTCGTAGGAGAAAAGCTTTGGTAGATCGGCTTATGAAACAGAAATCCTTCAATGATTTTATGAAAAGAACAACTTTTGCAAATGTCATTACATCATCCAAAAAAAGGTCATTCAAGACGCCATACATGCCCCTTTAGATCAACTCCCATATATCATATATAAATTGATTTTATTTAATCACATTTGTGTCGGGTGAAACGATTTATACAGATAGGCGTCTAGCCATCTCAGGTCGAGATGTTCTTCGCCCGTGCGAGGGGCCTGAGGCTGCAAACGTTCCGCCATTGAGTGCAGCTGGTTTTGGAAAGCCACCGCCAACAAGAAAGGACAGCTTGTGGCATGAAGTGTGGAGCTTGCAGGCCCCGTTCTGCCCTGATCTTCAGTTTGTTGCTTCCATCAGCTTGGCTAATTAAGGGACGTGACAAACATGTTGATCTTTCAATTGTATACAGTAGACGTCTCAAAAGTCTTTAGAACAAATGCCGACGTAAATTGAGTCAACGACTCCGTTTTGGAGGTGCGGTCGACTTTGGTGCCTCGAAAGGAACTCCCTGCCGCATGCACAAACAATTGCAATAAGGTTTGGGTGTCGAAGTTGCGGCATGACAATTTTGAGCGTCACATTTGCAATCTTGGCTGTCACATGGCGCTCTCCTCTCTCTCTCTCTCTCTGTGCACTTGTTTGGGAGACAGCACTGACAAGAGCGCGGCCATTGGGGCGCACGATGCTCCTGCAAATGCGCACAGAAAACGCCTTCACCCAAAGGAACTCTTGTCTGTACTTCTGTTGAAAGGGATGCTTCAGCGGCACAATGAATCAAAAGCCGGCAAACCTGGGTGATACTTAGCGACTGCACCCAACAAGCGATCGCTTTGCAATGCCTATAGGCCTACAATGGCCTATATGTGTTTCAGAACACTGATCATCTTACTATATTGGATTGGGGACCATCTAAAAAATAGAAAACATCAGTGACACAATGTGGGCACATGTGAATATCCACGACCTCTGCCGCTTAAATTGACAGCGCTCGTGGACAGTCGCTGCTTACCTCAGTTCAGTCACCGCCCCCAAGGCCGAATTCTGTCGAGTCAGATGGAGCGATCAGTGTGTAGCTAAGATCCGATCAGCTTGGATCCGCATACCTTGAGGGGAAGATGCCCACAAACACGAACACGGCTTCTCGACCAGTGCTCTACCTGCTCCAGGACGAGGATCTTTGCATCGCTCTTTCATGCCTTGGCTGCTTAGCTGATGGCCGAACATCTCAGTTAGGACGAGTCGAGTCTCATCGCCCAACTGTACAAGGGCTCCTGCCCACCACTTGCCAGCGACAAATGATCCTGGCAGCCAAGCTCGTTCCTAACTCCTTCTACAAGTCTCCCTCGTCCCCAGCAAGTGTTTTCCGCGCCGCTGGTGACCTGGTGGGTAGGATCCAGAACAAAGCAACGGGATGTTTGGTGGCGAAGGATCTTTGTGCAGCTTCACAGTTGGATGCACTTGCCCCAAGTCAATTCAGCCTCGCAGCAATGTTCGGACATCCGTGCCTCGCTCACTGCTGGCAAACGCCCTTAGCATTGTGGTGAACCTATTTGAACACGTTGAACAAGCATGTATAGGCTTTAGATGGCTTTAGACTCAAGGTGTTCATTCTAGACCAGTGGACAGGGCTGGCGCAATGGCCACAGCGCTTGCCGAGGCCTGAACGGACTTGGTCTGCCAGGATGCCTGCATTCAGCTTTTGGGATAGGCGGGCATTTGCTGCTTGCTCCTTGCGAACATGCACCAGCCAAGGACAAATATCTCTCCACACAAAGATGCAATCTCACATCGAAGACAAAACAATAGCCGACCACGCTCTACCCTTCCTTCATCAGTGCAGTGAACATGCAACTGTTACACAAACATAGACCCACATTACATTTACAAAAGAAGCCGCAAAAAGGGACCTTCGACAAGAGCGAAAGCTCGAAGTGAAAACGTTTTTCTTTTGGGACTTTGAAACTTTGGGGTACATGTTATTTATTTAGCCTAGGATATACAGCCATATACAACAGCAAACATCATGATCACTAGCATAAACATAGGCGCCTGGTCGATCAAATGCATCGATGCCAAAGATTCTGTCCCACGGAATCTGGCAGAGAATCCAGTCATGAGCTAGAAGTTACACAATGATATGAAATTGGTGCCATTTCCTTCTAGGAAGCCCATGGCGGGGTGACTGAACAGAATGCCTCAGTGATGTTGCTCAAATGCCGCACTGAGATCAAAAGCCTCTGCAAAAAAACTACAAGCCACGGTTTGGCTGCCAGCTTTCTTGGTGGCAATCTCTCCATCACCTGCCCGTTCACGAAACGTAGCAACACTTCAAAATTGCACCATGCCGACCACAGTCGTTGTACGTCCAGTATTGCACTTTGGCTTGTGGCAGAGTTGCCTCGGGCCCATGAGTTGCCCATGGCGGAGGTGAGGCACCAACTGGAGAAGCCGCCTCGCAGAAAAAAGAAAAGCCGGGTGGGGGAGGGCAAAGGAGCCTGATCTTACTGATCTTGTCAGGTTCACAATTTTGATTCTCGGACTCAGGATGGTGCATTCTTGCGACCTTGGCACTTGAACACCGAACCAGTATGCCCACATGTCCGTCGTGAAAGAACATGATGCAAAGCACCGGGCCAGCTGGCGCCTTTCCACTTGGTGGACAGGCCCTGCATGGCTATGAGCTCTCCTAACTAATTACAGTAGTAACCTTTGAAAGCATGACCCTGCTCTGCTGTGTGGCAATGAAAGCTCGTGCACCATCCTGTGTCTGGCCGCAGCTGCAGGCACAGCCCGACTCTTTACCTGAGCACCCATGCCTGCTGCCACCCACCCTCTATCTCTCTCTCATTCTCTTCTCTCTCTTCTCTCTCTTCTCTCTCTTCTCTCTCTTCTCTC